TGTTGGTGTCTCTTTCACAGAGTTCGCATTTAAACAATGGAATTTCTATAGTAAATCCCCTTGAAGGGGTTTTGGTTCTATAAACCCCGCGGAGCAGTCTGGAGAGGCAGTGCTGTTCAAGGAGCTGTGGCTGACTGCCTGGGGGTCTCTGGGTCTGTTTATGAGAGTTGTTTTGCTTTAGCTCCTCTACTATCCATGTTCTGGTAGGGCAGGCTGGGAAGCAGCGCAGAGGACGGGCACCCTGAGCCCCAGCTCTGCTAACAGTAGCAAACTGCTTCAGACGTTAGTTTGGTCTCAGAACCAGGTCATGCTCTGGAAGCAGAAGACTCTTGGTTTCGTAGGTGTGAACTCCTCAGTGCTCAGTTTGTCTAGTTCTAGTCAGAGCTGTTTTGGTGGCCCAAGTGCCTGCAACATCTTTGGTATACTCTTCTTGGCAGGAGCCTTGCATGGCACTGTTGTGCTGTGCAGCTTGAGCTGAAGAGGGTGAATTGAGGTCTGGTGAATTCATGGAAATGGGGTTGTTTTTACAGCAGAGAGTTCAACGGAGGTTCTGGAAGCCTTGGCCAGCCCTGAACAACTCCTTTATCCTTACATTCATACTGAGGGAGAGCAGCAGCAAAATTCCTTGCTTGCTTGTTTATCAAGCCCTATAACTTTTCTCTCTGTGGCTGTTTGTGTTAAAGTTCTAAGAAGTTGGAGCGAGCTGCAGGAATGGCTGACCAGAAGCGCCTTGCCTACTCCATCATCCAGTTTCTACACGACCAGCTACAGAATGGGGGGCTGTCTCCAGATGCTCAGGAGAGTTTGGAAGGTAGGTTGATCAAGACTGCAAATGAATTTGTCTTCTTGGGGGGGTATGAGGAATGTTGACTGCTCATCTGATTTCCTGTTATCTCTGTCAAAAGCAGATTAGTTGGAGGAAGGGATATACCTGAGATTAAAAAACTCTCTGACCCTGGCTTTGAGACTTACAAGTTTTATCTTAAATGAGGTAGAGTCAGGAGGGGTGTAGTGTAGTGTAAAATCCCAACTCTGTTCACAACTGTTTCATGCTTGCAGAGGGCTTTTCCCTTTGCTATCACAATGCTTTTCCACAGCACACCCTGGAGTACTTACGCAGTTCTTTTACAGAGGGCTTCACTGGTAACAAGAGTGCACTGATCTTAAAAGATCTGCTTAAGGAGCTTATGCTTTGGTCTTTGGCTTTGTACATTTATCCTGCTAAAAGAGTGCACAGGCATATCTGCAGACTGGCAGGTACATTCCTGGATGAGGCAGGAACAAAGGACGGTGTTGGCTGCAAAGAAGGGGTTTGATCCTGGTGCTTTTGGACTGTAAAACATGGCATGAGAGCTCTGTTGTGTCACTGGAGTTTCCCTCTGTACTGGCAACAGCTTCCCCACCAGGCTCCTGATGAGGGACGAGGTGGTTGTTTCGTGTCTTTTGCATGGCCACTGTGACAGCCGCCCTCTAGCAAGTGAAACGTGCACCTCTTCCCTTGACTTTGCTACCCACAGCTGTGGGAATGCCAGTAAAACCCAGCTTGGTTAAATTCTACCCCCCAGCACCTGCTCTGCAATCACCTGAGGGGATAGGAGTTGAGTGAATCCATTCAGGAGCTTGAGCTCCAGAGCCCAGTTTGCCCAGCTCTGAGAATTTGGCAAAATTTGAGGATATGTCCCAAATATCCTGGTGTGTGGTTTGTGTTCTTGTTTCTCTTATGTTAGTAAGAAATTCAGCTGCTGTGGGAGAGGGTTAAAGATGTAGATGGAGTGGGGAAAGCTAATTACGTGACTCTTCTTGTCTAGTTGCCATCCAGTGCCTGGAGACAGCGTTTGGGGTCTCGATGGAAGACCAAGGCCTAGCTGTGTCCCAGACTCTTCCTGAAATATTCGAAGCTGCTGCAGGAAAGGTTAGCAAGTGCCCTAAAATATGTGCTGAGTTTCCATTTAAGCAGCCAAAGCAATGAGCTCTGCTTGATTCCTCTGAGGAGAAATGCTGCCCCCTCAGAGGTGTGTGGGAGGGAAATGTTTTGGGCTTGATGAGCCAGTGCTTGGGAAGGGGGAGGTGTAAGTTCTTCTCAGTGGGAGTCTAGCAAAGCCTTCTCCTTCTCCTTCAAAGGAGCCTGAACACATCAGAACAAACTCAGAGCCCATCACCCCCTCTGAAGATGACATAGCTGAGGCTGAAAGACTGAAGACTGAAGGTAATCTCCTCTGGAGCTGATAATAATGAGGTTTAGATGGTATTGAGGCACCTGGGGAATGCTTGGAAAAGGTTGGGGCGGGGAGGGGGAAGACAAATGGGATCAACCCTTCTATTTCTTGTCTCTGTGCTGGTGCTGCAGTAGGTTGACATAATTTGGCTGTGTGGGACAGGCATCTTTCCTGGTGAGCTCTCCTCTGCACGTTGCCTTTTTGCTGCTGTGCAAGAGAGCACAATTAGTTCTGCAGTTTGATGGAGATGGTCCTCTGAGCCAACACACTGTAGTGCTCTTCAGGATGTGGTGCTGCTCTGGGGAGGCCCCGGGTGGGCCTGAAGTGGGGGGAACAGTTGGAGGCGCTATGGGGGGCTTGCAGCATCAGGCAAGACACAGACCTTGCACTGGCAAAGCAGTTTGACCAGCAACATTTGCCAGTGATTTGTTTCTCTCTTGTCCTATTTTCTGAAGTAGAACATAAATCCAGGCCTGTTGCTTCTTCTTGACCCTATTTCCCCCACCCCCCCTCACCTCATTAATGAGCCTTTCCACCATCTTTTTAGGAAACGAACAAATGAAGGCAGAGAACTTCGAGGCTGCAGTGTGTTTCTATGGAAAAGCAATTGAATTAAATCCATCCAATGCTGTGTATTTCTGCAACAGGTACTGGTTAGCTTTCTCCATCCTGTGTTTTTGTTATGTAGATTTAAGAGTCTTGAATGGTCAGAATCCCCCCCCTTTTTTTTAATGATTCTATAGGCTGCTTGTTCTGTTCCTTGCTCTTCGTGTAGTTTTTTTGGGTTTGGTTTGGTTTGTTTTTAAGCTCATAGGGACACACTTTCCTGTGCCCTGGCATCTTTAGGTGGGATGTGGATGTGGAAACAAACTCTTAGGCATTTGAGGAGACATAAGGATGCCAAGAAACACTGCCTGCTTTCATGTAGTTAACTCTTAAGTGGGATAGAGGGCCTAGGTTTCAGAGGCTGCGTTGATAATAAAAGCAAAGGAGTGAAATGAGACAAGCTGAAGGCTTGTTATTGAGAAGTAGATAAGTAGCTGTGTGTGTAAAATGGGCTGTGCAAGCAAATTCCCTGCTTTTATGTTCTAAGCAAAAGTGTTTGAAAGTTGGTGGGAAGACAGTTAGTGAATAAAGCAGGCTACATGAGGAACATGTCTGCACATGTGTTGATGACATGTGAGGTGTTTCTTGGAGCAAGAAGTGCAGCTGGTGCCTTTAGCTGTATGTGGGTCAGTCCCATGAGGTTTTGGGCAGATGCCCCTCAATGGGAGTTGTGAGATTGAGGCTTGAATGAGCACATTATGGCTTCAAAAAAAGTTTTCTCCTCTTATGTGGAGTGTGGGGGGGAAACGGATAAAACAGTTGTTATGACTAAGAAATCAAGGCATAAGAGAAGCTGGGAGAGATTATGTGAGCTTGCAAGTATGATAGTACATGCTTCTCTGGAGGCCAGGCTCCTCTTGGAAAGTCCGTGAGGAGAAGTAAGCCTAGATTTATTTGCAGCAGGAGTAGAATGTGGAGCTGGGTGTTTGGATAGCAGCCTGCTTGCCTAGATATGACCTGGATTTATGTCAAGTTCACACTTGACTTTACCTTGTACAATAAGAGACTACAGAGATTAAACAGGGGTGACCTTGATCAGCATATTGAAGCTAAGTGTTTTCTGTACATCTTTCTCTGTTCCCTCCAGAGCTGCTGCATACAGTAAACTAGGAAACTATGCTGGAGCAGTGAGAGACTGTGAAAGAGCTATAGGCATTGATCCAAACTACAGCAAAGCTTATGGCAGAATGGGGTAAGAGCATTATGGGGTTTTGTACCAGAATTTTAAGCTCAAAGCCTTGTGGCAACGATACTATTAGGGGTGTTCTGCCCTGGAATGCCATGCAAAAATACCTAGTGTTTCTCCTTTGCTGGGGCTGGAGGAAGATTGCAAGTGCTTATCTAACTGGGACCTTTTATTTCCAATTCCATAGCTTGGCCCTCTCCAGCTTAAACAAACACACAGAAGCTGTAGTTTACTACAAAAAAGCTCTGGAGCTGGATCCAGACAATGACACATACAAATCCAACCTTAAAATAGCTGAACAGAAAATGAAGGAGACTCCAAGTCCAGTAAGTTCTGAAACTAATGTTTGTTATCTGTGGATAAGATTAGAAGGAAGCTGCTTCATTGTAATTGAAGCTGCTTTCTGCTGAGCCTTGATGGCCTTGGTTGTGTTTAGAATACAATTCTTGTGTGCACACAGAGGGAGGACAAGTCCTGCTGTGACCAATCTTGAGTACAGTCACCTCGGGCTTATTTGAAAGAGCTAGAAATGAGACTGTTTAGAAAGGAGTGTTTTGAAACAGACAAGTCCCTGCTCCTAAAATCCAGCTTTTTTTTTTTCTCCCTAGTGACCTGTTGGCAATACCAAAAGGGCATTTTTTTTAGGTGGCTTTCTTTTCCCTTACAAAGATTGTTTTCTTAAGAAAAGAAACCTAGAGGCACTGCTGCCCTGCTCCATGCAGGAAGATGTTCATAATTTTGAAGGGTTTCTAGTTTTCTAAAGACTTCTCCAGTGCAAAGGTGGCCAAGTGGGTGTGTTTCATTTGACAGTTGTAATGGGTTCTAACTGTACATTCTAATGTGGCTGTGAGGGGGGTGAAGCTGCTTTTTGACTCCTTTAATGAGCCTAATCCCCCAAGGCTGCCTATGACCTGGAGCTTTATGGAAAGGGTATGGACAAAGCCTCTTCCCTTTGCTTTCTAACACTGGGAGTAAAGTATTAATGTTCATTGTCAGGAAGTGAGAAGATGTCATCATCTGCATGTGGTTTCTTTATGCTTACAGACTGGAGGTCCAGGAGGATTCGATTTAGCTGGCTTGCTGAACAACCCTGGCTTCATGAGTATGGTAAATGTGGACGCAGATCAGGCTGTATGGTCTGGATGTTGGTCTGTTCAGGATGAAATGTAGCAGTACGTGGCCTGGGAAGCTCCTGTGTCTCTTCAGCAGATTTGTTTTCATTTCATTTAGCGTGTAAACTGGGCTTGTATTTCGTGAAGTCACTGCTCTTCTTTTGACCTCATTCACCAGCTTCTCCTTGCAACTGTAGGAAGGGTGCCTGTTTTGCACTACCAGCCTTGTCTTGTGTGTTGCACTGTGCTCCTCTTAGCTATTTTTGTCCTACTGATCTGTTTCAAAATATTTCTGCTTTTCCTTTGTAGCTGAATGGCACAACATCTGCATATCCACGCAGTAATTTCTGACTAAATAGGGTGTCATTTTTTTTCTCCCCTCTTTAAATAGGCGTCTAACCTAATGAACAATCCACAAGTACAACAGCTGTAAGTTTGATCCCATCTTGTATTTCCTTTTTGAATCGTTCATTGGAGGCTATGTGTGTGTTTGGCATTTGCAGTAGGTCTGAACTGGTGGGAGCAGGACTGTGCTTGGACCAGAAATATGAAGGGCAGCTTTAAACCCATCCAGCTGCCTTGGCTAGTGTGTATTTTGAGTACTCCAGGCTGTGCTGAAGAGGTATCTTGGTGTAAACATTTGCAGAAGGCAAGCAGGGTAGATCATGGCACTGGAATTAGGTTTGGGAAGCTTGGGATCAGTCTGGCTCTGCTGCATAGTGTTTATATGACCTGGAGACAAGATTCACAGCTCCATCTTGGTGCTACAGGGTTGTGAGGATCAACTTAAAATGTTTGTGAGATGCTTTGATAGTACAAAGTCATGAAAATAATAAGGCATGCATGCCACTAGTGAATATGTTTAGGCAGACCTGTCAGTAGATCTCTTTTGATGCAGAGCAAGCAAACAGCTTGTGTGAGGAAAGGCAGTGTTTTAATTAAACCAAACACATGGCTTGCACACAAAAGGGGGAATCTCTGGGAATACAGGAACTGACACTCTTACAAATATTATGCAGTTTAATATTGTGCAGTTCCTCTTCTGCAGTTAAACAAAAGTTGTTGCAGAAGATTCCCTTGCAGATAACTTCATACTCTGTGTATGAAGATGCTTCCATTATGCTGACACTCCCCTTCCACTGTAAACTAAACCATTTCTGTGGGGTTTTTTTCCTGCTCTGAGCAATGACTCTTATTTCCTCAGCATGTCCGGGATGATTTCTGGTGGCCACAACCCCATGGGAGCAGCAGGCACCAGCCCATCCACAAATGATCTTGCCAGCCTCATACAAGCGTGAGTAGAGAGCTGGGAGTTCCTCATTGCCTTGGTCAATAAATGCATTTGGGATTTTTATTTTTTTTTTTAATCAGAATCAGAATCTTAATTTAACAGTTGAGAAAGGCTGAAATACTGGGTGAAGCATCATGGAATGGTTTGGGTTGGAAGGGAACTTAAAGCGCTTCCAGTTCCAAACCCTTGCCACGGGCAGGGACACCTTCCACTAGAGCAGGTTGCTCCAAGCCCCTGTGTCCAACCTGGCCTTGAACACTGCCAGGGATGGGGCAGCCACAGCTTCTCTGGGCACCCTGTGCCAGCACCTCAGCACCCTCACAGGGAAGAGCTTCTGCCTCAGAGCTCATCTCAATCTCCCCTCTGGCAGGTTAAAGCCATTCCCCCTTGTCCTGTCCCTACAGGCCCTTGTCCAAAGCCCCTCTCCAGGTTTTCTTGTAGCCCTTTTAGGCACTGGGAGCTGCTCTAAGAGAGCCTTGTCTTCTCCAGGCTGAACAAGCACCAGACTGTGTAGAATGTGTGAGAACAAAAAGAGGACTCTTGCTTTTTCTCCTTCAGGGGACAGCAGTTTGCTCAGCAGATGCAGCAGCAGAATCCTGAACTTATAGAGCAGCTACGAAGCCAGATCAGGAGTCGAACTCCAAGTGCCAGTAACGAAGATCAGCAGTAATGAGCCCTCCAGGTGAGGCTGTAGCCAGGAGTGCTGCTGGACTGTGACCAGCTGAGTGGGAATTTTATGTATTTGGCTGCAATACCAGTCTTGTGCCTTAATTTAGCAATTTGGTGTGTCTCCCCTCCACAGAGACTGGGTTATCTGCATCAGTACTGCTAGTACTGTGCCTCATGCAAGGCTCAGCCCAGAGGAGCAGTGAATAAGAACTTCCATCACACGTTGTGTGACTGACAAAGGGAGTTTCGTTATATAGTGTTCACAGTGGTTAAAGGGACACTTTATTTGCTCAAAGATTGAATTTGCAAATGTCTTGTCTTCCTGTCTCTGCAGCGCAGTCCGTGGGAACTATGTTCTTTGCTTTAAAAACTGGAAGCCATGTGTGTGTTGCCATTTCTTGAGTTGGAAGTGTCCAAGAGGGGGAAAAAAAATAATGGAAAACCAAAATACTTTCTATGACCTGCATGTTAAAGACAGATTCATGCTTTCGTTCCCTAGTCTTCATCCCTGCTCCTCTCCCTCAGCCTTTCCATTAGTCTCTTTGTTTTCTTCTGGAAGATCCAGCAAGCTGACCACAAACCAGCAGCAGCAGCAGTCTTTCTAAAGACACTCAGAACAATTAACTACACTGTTGCATTTCTGTTATTTGCTACATGGGAATTTTTTAACCCATTTTTGAAGATTGATGCACTCTTCACTACAGGACGTCTTCACTTTCCTGCCCATGTGCCACTTCAAAGAAGTGTTCAAGTCCTACCTAAGCCCAGTTTAATCCTCCTGCCAGTTACGAGATGGTGGTGTTTGTACACTGGAAATTGCAGGATCTACAGGGTTTCTGTTGATTAGATTGACTGCATTTCTCATTCAGGTCTGTAGCAACATGGCCGTGGTGTTAATGCATGGGAGTTTGGTGCTCACCTCTCAAAGGATGGTGTAAATGTGAGGGAGTCGTGACTGGCCAGGAAGAACCTGCCCACATGCAACAGCTCCTGTGGCGAGCGTTTCCTGGTGCACTGCTTGGGGTTCTTTCCCAGTCCTGACAAAATTTGTCTAGTGTTTAGTAATTATGGCTCTGTTGTTGGAATGATCCAATCTGTGAACTAGTCAGGTGGACAGTAAGGATGTTTTTAGTGTTTAAAGGGTTTTTTTTTTTTCCTGATTTTTTATCTTTTATGCATGTAAGTAATCAACCTGTTTGACTGTGCTAATGGTAGGAGTAGCGGGTGCCTGAGTAGAGAGCAGAAGGAGTATCAATGCTGCTTGGATTCCAGGTGATGAAGTGGCTGCAGGTTCAGTGTTGGGGGTAGGCAGTTACACCTTACTGTGTGGTGTGTGAGAAAAGGGAAAAGCTCTTGTAGCCACCTTGAGCCACCCGCAGCCTTCCACCCCTCTAGTTACCTGTGTCACTCCTTGGGCTGACAGAAAGCTCTGGCCCCTTCCCCTAAAGTAACTAGTTGAGGCCAGAGACTTATATCGACCACAGAATTGGCTTTAAAGTAGTTAATTTGCCTGTGGTGGGGTAGGTGTGTTCACAGCCTGACTGCTGGGCAAAAAGCATCCCCTCTGAAGGTGTGAGATGGAAAACTCCCTTTCAGGAGACCTGGTGGTGTGAGTGAGCAGGTATATTTGCAGATTAATATCAAAGAAAAACAAAACAACCTGTAAATGCTCCATAAGTGATATGTGGTCAATGTAACTTGTGAAGAATAAACTATTTGGACACTTTCTTTGTTATCCCTCTTGCCCAGGTGACTGAAGCAAGATGTGGTGCTGTGGGGTCAGGGCTCTGTTCCGCTGAGGCCAAACCTACAAATGGGGTTTGTCCGCCTTTCCCCATTTTTCGTTCTTCCCTGCTGGAATGCTGCTTCTGCCCGTTTCAGCGTCCCCTAAACTCTTTTAAGTTCTCTCCAGCTGGTTTTTGGTGGCGGTTGTGATGCTCTTCGTTGGCTCCTCCACCGGTTGGGCCGGCCCCTGGTCCTGTGCCTCGGCCCGGTCAGCACCGCGCGTCCCGGACAGCTCCGCGGGCTTGTGCTGCCCCGGAACCA